TGAGCTTGATTCTTTTCTTGCAAACGTTTCATTACCCGGCTAGGTAACATCTTCAGTGCTGATAATGAATACGTTTGCAAGAAAAGAGCCAAGCTCAGAGAACCCCAAGGACTCCACATTAAAATGATTCTAGGTAGACATTTTGGTATAAGAAAATGGTGAATTAATGAATGCTTACTGTTATTCTCATTAAGTTGTTTTTAATATTTTAATGTAGAAAGCATGCTCAAACAAACTCTGAAGAATAAAAAATGTCAAACACAGGAAAATCAAGCAAATTTTAGTATCCATCAGTACTGCGTTGGGAAAGAAAATGAACATTCCACTTCTGTGAGAGAAGGTGAGTTTATTGAATAACAAAAAGGTTGCATCTCATTACAAAGCATATTTTATCTGAAACATTTTAACTATTATAATTTAGAACTCTGCCTGACAAAGATTTAAACCTCTCTCCTGGCAGAAATTTAAATCTCTGAGCTGGACTTTTCTGAAACAATTCTCCCTCGCCACACACACACACACACACACACACACACACAGAGAGAGAGAGAGAGAGAGAGAGAGAGAGAGAGAGAATATGTTTTAGATGTTCACCCTGGTTTTTTTGGTGGGGGAGGGAGGGAGTATCTCCTGGAGAACAATTTTTGTTTTCTGCTCAGTCTCCTTTGTCATAAGCAAAACCACACAGATATAATCCTCCAACATTTCAATTGAGAGGTTCTGAAGAGACAGAAAAGAAATTTTAGAATCTGAAATGGTTATATTGATCCAAATGGATCAATCATTTTAGTACTATGTTTCTTATAAGTACCATTGTGTCCAGTTTGACTTATTCTGGAGAAGGGATGTCTAACATTGATAACTGTTGTGAAAGGGAAAATTATTTTATTGAAATTTAAATGTTCACAACCAAATGGGGTTGTTTTGACTTGCAAGTCATTAATTATTTTTATTGATATAATGATTTTAAAAAATGTTCTTGCAAAATATTACTTTAAATAATTGATATTAAATATTGATTGGTTAGACTTTATATTATCTATATTATGGAAATTTTTGCTACAAGTTGTTTTGAACGAGCCTTTGTGAGTTTAGTAGGTCTGTCTATCTATCTGTGAAAGATCATGGCAATTCTTTTGTTTAAAAAGCTACTTAAGAACACAACATTTTATTGTTTTGATATATGCAAGCATCACAGTTTGTCATAACTCATCTTTAGAGAAACTGAGAAAAATTATGTAAAGCCATATAAGCAATTTTATGAAAAATGCATGAATACCTTACTTGAGTCAATTTTACATTTAACTTTTTGGGCAAAAGAAGTATCTGGAATCAAAGTGGGGGAACCCCACTGATAATATTGTTTTGTAAATGTTTGCAAAACAATAAATGCAGATTTTTTTATTATTTTTTTTTTGGTATTTCTTGTTCTTCCTCTTATGCAAGAGGTTGTGCAGATTCTTGTCTAACTTCTTGCATAAGGAGAAAATATTTTTAGAATATTTTTCACTTTTCTCGTACAACACATACATGGTAGAATAAAGACTTTCCCTGGAGAGAAGACTGTTTCCTCAAGTGAAATAGCATCTTTGGATATATGCTTCCATGTGTTCCTTCAGTTCATTCCCCAAAGAATGAACAAGGAGAATAGTTTGGAATAGATTTAACATTTATTTAAAGTGTGCATAGTCTAGGAGATATACGCAATAATGAAGAACTGTTAGAAGTTATGTTTCCATGTGTTCCTTCAGTTATTCATGTTGTCCGGTAGATAATACAAATTTAAATAAAGTTAGGATTTTTCTTAACTCTATCAATGGTTATTTATTTACTCCATATTCATAGGAATCAACCTTTACTTGGAAATTACATCTAGCAATTTGCATGTTCCTGAGTCAGTTAGATTGCTTTTTCAAACACTTCTAACAGTTCTTCATGATCACTTATGTCTCCTAGACTATGCACACTTTAAATAAGATTTTAAATCTATTCCAAACTATTCTCTTTGTCCATGCTTTGGAGATTTTTCACAATATTTTTCAAATTAGAAGCCATCCAATTGTTACAGTGTATCTCAAAGAATGCAGCTGGCTACAGGTTCTATCATACAATTTGGTTTCCATTCACATTCTAGGGTTTGAGACAAAGGGCTAGGTTGCAGTTTGTAAATAAAAGTTTAGAATCCACTTTTGTCCCTTCTAAAAATTATTGCTTGAGAAGGCATGTGTGTGTTTGGGGGCGGGGGGGGCGGGTAATCGTGGAGAAGAACAGTAAGTTATTCTACTGAAGGTAAGACTAAGAGTAGAATGCAAAAAAAGATTGCAGGTACTTCTCTGGACTCAAACTTGTTGCATATGAAGGAAGCAGAAAGAAGCTAGTTTTAAGTTTCATTTTCTGATTTTAATTAATATTTATTACAGAAGAGCAGAAGGAGCAAAAAAGGAAATGCTACAGTTTATATGTTTTGATATTTGCTATACTCTTTCAAAATACAGCATTCAGCTGTATGCCTTAGGGTACATATCTGCTATAAATTCATTTTTTATCTAATTTGTCTGAGATCTAAGCTTCCTGTGGAGGTCTGAGATCAAAGGATCTGATTCTTTCTGATGTTGGCTCTGACATAAAATGTGTGCTGACTTAGTTCTGTCTATAAAATCGCAGTAGGAGACTGTCATAGTCCTTTGGAACCTTTACATAGTGGACTTTCATTTCAGCTGGTAAGGATGACAGGTACCACATTGATTGGAGCTAACATGTAAATAATTAATGGGCAGATCTTTCTCTCGCTCTCTCTCTCTGCAAATGGAAATCCAGGCCTTCAGATTATTTTTTAAAAGAAATTGCTGCAAGATCATTAAAAATCCTTGATATATTCAGATTTAAATAAGAATAACAATGTATTAAGCTAATATAAAATGCATGACATGAAATATCTAATTTCTTAAACACCCCCTCCCATTTAAAAGATTGTTGCTTTTGAAAACCGAGAGACCGTCAAAGGTAGTTATTTCTCCTTCATTTCTGCCAGCTAATTTTATTTTCCATGGAATACATTTGATCCAATATATTTTTTGGCATTTTAACTAGTGTTTAGGGATATAAAACAGGGTAAACCAGTTTAGAACTTAATATAACATAAATCATCTAAGAGATTAGATTTGCTTTGATTTATCTACTTTTATCTAACTGTATAATGACATAGGACCAAATCCAAATAGTTTCCCTTTGTTGATAAAAGACTTTAATCAGCAGGTTGGGGAAAGAAATGATTTCCATCCATTTCGCCTCCTTTGGCTTTGCAGTTTCCAGTTCTGTTCCAGAAGGATACTTTCTAAAGCCAACCATACAGGGCTTCACTGATTACCCCTCCCTGCTCCACTGAGGGAAGCCTTCCACTTGCAAGGGAAATTAACTGGATTCTACTCATGGTTTTAAAGGATCACCTTATGTAGGCCATCATAATGAGAAAACATATGTCCTCTTTTTTTCCATCTTTGTTTTATTTCTGGAGTATAATCACCATTTTGGGATGATTAAATATGAAAAACAGTAAATAATTGTCATGATAAATAAAAAAAAATAAACATAAAGTTTAAACTGCAGCGAAGTAGGAAAAGGAACATAGGAAACATAGTTTTGTTAGTTCCCTTTCTTTTTGGCATCTAGGCCCAATACACAGTCCTTCTAGCAATGAATCATTACAGTAGGTGTTGAGCAGCTTTTAAGAAAGCTAAGAATTTATTAATTTACTATCATCACTGACTGACCATGTGTTTTCTAATAGATCTAAAACTGTGTGGAGAACTTACACATATTGAAGAGCCATTAAAGAAGTCACATCAAGAAACATTGAACAGCGTATCAGCAGGAGCAGCAAATGAAATCAAACAAGGTCATTGTCTCAATAAAAGGAAATCAACCAGGGATTCTCTGGAGCTTCAGGAACTTGGCATCAAGGAGTTTAATGAATGGAAAAAGACCAAACAGCATATCTTTGACTATGTTCAGTACAAAGAAACGAAAGGAGAACAATTCGTAGATCAAAAGTATAAAAGACACACAGAGATGCCTATGACAAGGTCCGAAGAAAATATGAGGGGAAAACAGGAAGTTACAGTATCATAATATCCAAATGTTCCTGAGGATTTGGCTGCTTTTGGAATTTCTCATTGTTAATGCAATTATATATTTTGAGACATAGAAAGTGGAGACAACTTGCTTAATTTTTAGAGTAAAATTAATGAAGGCCAATAAACCATGAACAAGCAATATTCCTATGAATTGCTTCTAGCACAAGTCACTGAAGATGGCTGCAGTACTGATTTTGCTATCTCGTGATCATTGTCATTCTTCTTATTGGTTCTTGCCATATTGCTATGCAGATAGGAGATGTAAAGTGGTAAACAAACTACTGTTTTTGTTTACTTGCTTACCTGCCTATTTAGTTGTGAGCCTTATTTCAGTAACTTTCTTAAAATTTAAATTTTTTTAAAAAAAAATTAATTTTTTTTATGTTTTATATATTTATAGGTATTTATGGTTTTAATGTTTTGTGTGAACCACCCAGAGTCCTCCATTGGGGGAGATGGGCGGGGGAGAAATTTAATAAATAAATAAACAAACAAACAAACAAACAAGCAATATTGAATGATAAATATAAATGTTTAACTAAAAAAATAGTGTAAAACGCTGACATTTCCCATGGCTGAGGTGGTGATACAGGCCTTTTCAGCACCATTTTCAAGAACTGTGTTGAAGTCTTATGGATAAAAGCTGATTTAGAATTTATATTGGCCTTTGGAATTAGCATTCCCAAGGAAAATTTTACTCTCCCCAAACTGCTGTCCTAGCATGTAGTCCACCAGGACTCACAAAATAAGCTGGGGCAATTTAGTGACTTCTCTCACCTTCATCATGAATGGATGTAAAGAATTTCAAGTGAAGGCTTTGAATCATTCTATGATTTCTGATAAATTATACTCAGTAATGTAAATTTAGTAGTGTAAATAGAGCCAGTCTGGTCTAGCGGTGAAGCACCAGGCTAGAAACCAGGAGAAGGTGAGTTCTACTTCCACCTTAGGCGTGAAAGCCAGCTGGGTGACTTTGGTCCAGTGCCTCTCTCTCAGCCCAACTCACCTCACAGGGTTGTTGTTCACAGGGGAAAATGGGAGGAAGAAGGAGTATTAGGTATGCTTGCTGCCTTGAGTTATTTATAAAAATAATAAAGGCTGAATAAAAGATCTAAAAAAAATTACCATTGGATTATCACTGCATGTACATAATGGTATTACTGCAATTTCTAGTGAAAATCATTTTATGAGTGGACTTCCATGTGCATATATACATACAGTTATGGTGCACATTTGCTTTACAAGTTATTTTTATAACTAAGACATCTTAGTTATCTATTGTTCTCTGGAATCAAACATGTCCATTCCATATTAAGTGTCCAGTACATGCCCATGTAAATAAATGCTTGATTTCTTAAACTGAGTTGCATTCACATAATCATCATTTCTCAACTGTCTAAACATAGTCCAAACCTGCTTGGGAGGTTTGGAGATCTGAGTCAGAATTGGGAAATACAAATTGCCCATTGAATGCCTAAAAGTCCTGCATCACTGTTTCTAACCTATATGTATGGCAAGATTGTGTTTGCTTCATTATTTCAAAGAGTTAGCAAGAACTAAGACTATGTTGAATCTGCCAATAAATGATTGAGTCAGTATATTTTTTGTTGTGGAAAATTCAGAAGAACAGAGCACAACACTGAGGAGAAATAGCCAACTGTTTATTCAATAATCGCTGGATCTCAACTTTACAAGAAAAGAGAACCCCAAACAATGGGAAAGCAAAGATTTTTATAGATGTTGAGGGCTACAGGGTAGAAAATCCTAGGGATCTGATTGGTTGGCAACTTTTGGGATAAGCTGGGCAAGTCCTTGTCAGTGTACATGGGTTATTTCTATTGTTAAGCAATACTGCCCTTTCAGGAATGACAGCAGACCTGGAAAAATTCATCGTTAAGGAGATGGAACTGTTGGAGGGTCTCTGATTAAGGATGGAATGTTGCAGTCTCTCACCTTGTTGCAATTCTCTTATTAGGGCTGCCCTTGGGCTGTCCTGTGAGCAGGTGAGCAAGGCTTCAATTCTTTGGTTCAGAAGGGATCGCGGGGGCTTCGTCTGGAGGCAGGGAGGGTCAATTTCGGTCTGATAGGATTAGGCAAAGAGAGAGGAGCTGGTTTTACCCTGGACAGATCCAAAAGAGGGGGAAGAAAGGGGTGCAGCTTCCATTTTGTTTCTTATATAGTATATTTTCTCCACCACATCTTTATACAAGAAAATGTCTATGGCCAAAACCATGGTAACAAGCCTTTTGATGTTGCTATTTGTAATAGTTTAGCATTTAAATTAATCCTTTCATTCCAATCTATTTCCATTTATTCCACATTTTGCAAACAGTACAAATTATGCCTTGCTTGTTCCTAACAGGAAAAAAAAGAGAGAAAGAATAGCTCAATTGTTGATTGTGGCTTTTAGTTTTGAATGCATTTGTTGAAATGAATTCTACATCTTACCCTGTAGTGTGATAAAGAACAGAGTTTGACCTTCTGTATGACATCCTTTCAGATACTTGAATAATAATATCATATCCCTCTGATTTCAGTCTTTTCTTCTCAAGGCTAATTATTCCTAATTACTTAAATTTCTCTTGAGAGGACTTAGATTTTACTCCTTGTTCATCATTAATCTTTCTCTGAACCTATTAAAATTTGTCTGATTTTTTTTTTCAAATGCAATGTCCAGAACTGGGTATTCTGGACCCAATACTCTGATCTCTGCCAAATAAAGGGGACATGCATGCACATTAAAAAGGAACAGGACTTTGACAGTTTAAAAAACAGTGACTGTGGCAGATTATCCCCTTTCATGGTAAATGACAACTAGTCTACAGAAGTCTAAGTAACAGTAAAGTTCAACATTTCTATAGAACTTCAAGGAACTTGTGATGTCAGCCATTCCATTAATTTTATAGCATGATTATTGCTTGTGAAGGTAGCTTTTCTCTTCAACTTCAGCTAAGAGTATTATTCTTCTGTTCCCTAACCACCAGGAAAGTGTTGAGTGAAGAAAGCTCTGTAGTAAGCCCATTCAAGGATACTCTGGCTTCTGAAGCCTGAGTACAAAGGTTCTTCCTTTGTGTGGTGTGTGGTGAAACATCAACAGCAGATACATGTTTTAGGATGATGGGTTTATCAAGCCTGAGTTTGGAACAGTGGCAGCAGAGGACACAGGGGGCACCTGAGGTGGCAGGAGTCTTCAGAAATATCTTTCTTACATACAAGTTGCACTGGCATCAGTCTAGCCTAAACCAAGAGACTGTAGTGAGGCTTGCATTAGGTAGGTGTGCATAAGAGCGTTCAGTGTCGCAACCAAGCTGTTGTTTCTAGGCCCTCTCTTCCAGCTAGAGGTGTACATTATAGAAGAGATGATTGGTCCCTTAGATAGTTGTTAGGGTTTTAAAGACCAGCATCTTAACTGCACCTGATAAGCAATTGGCAGGCAGTGCAGATTGTTCAGAATGTGTGGTTTTGGTACTTTGTGCTAATTAGCAAATTAGTTTGTTCATGTTGTTCCACTTGCAACTTCCACACTCTTTGTAAGAGTAGCCTGACACAGGACACACTGAACTAGACAAGATGGAATATAACCAAGGCATGGATACCCACTTCCACATCTGACATGTCTTTTAACAATAGGGCACAAGCAATCACCAGCCGACCTTTCCTTTTAGCCACATAAAAATACAATAAGAGCAGTATGCCCTTGCTCCCAAGGCCTCCCTCAGAAATTGCTAAGGAATAGTTCCTTCACTGATCTTGCTGATGGAGATCTTCCCACCTAAGGAAAATATTCCAGCTGATATCCAGACACAAGGAGTGGATACAGTCATTGGCAGAAGGCCTTTGCTAGGAACAGACATTCCAGGTGCCGATCAAAAGTAGCAAATAAGCAAGTAACCAGATAGTACAGTGTGTTTTCCTTATCTCTCTTCATCTAACCTAGTCAAGTGTTGATAGTGTTATTAGCTTGCAGTCACAGGGTGGGATAATGATCAAAGGCAAGCTTTATATAAGGCCTCTATAGTAATAATGGTGGATTTTAGAGGATGACTATAGAGTTGGGTGAAGCCTCAGGTTCTCTTCATATTAGCTCATAATTCACTTTCATGTGTCCAGTCTCAATATTTCAAAAAGTAGGGTAAGCAGCATCCAAGGAAATCATGCTGTAAAAATTTGCTGCATGAGTTACTTAGCTATTTGTTTGTTTAAGAAAAGTCTGTGCAACAGTATGATTTGGATAAGAGGTATAAATACCAAAACTGAAACATCCAATTAGCTATGTTAAAATCTCAAGTACTGAAAGTTTCTTAAGAAAACTGAAATGCATGGTGAAGCCAAAATGTATTAATTTGGCAGCAAAAGCAAAATTTACTTCTACAGGGCATTCTAGAGTTGGGGTGTCACCACAAGATGGAGCTGCTTTTTATAGTTGTACAGTGCCCTTCTTCCAATTACATTTTATGGAAAAGGCTTCTTCTAAAGCTCTGATTGCATATGCAGGATGATATAGAAGGAGGTGCTCTTTCAGATAGTTGGACTTCATTAACTGTTTAGGAACTGAATTGGCATGGAAATAAACTGAGAACCAAGATACTTGGAATGTGGTTACAGCTAGATAAATTGGTTGGAATTCTAAAAGCTGAATTCTGAATCTGTTGAAGCTTCCAAGGGTAGGCCCACATATAATATTTTATCATAAACCTACTTAAAGTACCAACAGATAGATTTCTATGGCTAGCTATCCCTATCTAGGAAAGACTGTCACCAGTGAAATACCAAATCCATTTGAATCTATAGTGACCATACTGGAACAAGGATCAATCCCTCTATCCCAAATAAGATGTACATATTTGTACTATGACAATATGGTGCAACAATTAATTTTTAGACTAGGGCTGGAAGAAAACAGTTCAAGTCTGCCTTCTGCCATGGAAACTCACAGATGATTTTGGGCCAGTTACACTCACACTCAAGATTCTTGTGGGGTAAAATGAAGGGAGATCTCTGTGTAAGCCACCTTGAGTTCTAACCACCTAGACTAGAAATCTAACAAACAAACAAACAAACAAACAAACAAACACCATAAATGTATGCTTCTGGAACCCCATTCCATATGAACTGAATGTGTAATTGATGGAGAAATGTGGCCTGCAAACAAGTGGACAGGAAAGCTGGCTTATATAACCATGCTTGTTTCAACAGACAAGATGAGAGATCTCTGATTATCCTGCTCCTTTGAAATGTCTATAGTGGAAAAGAATTCCACAGTTGTGAGAATCTACTTACAGAAGCAGGGTTGATCTTAATAGTTCTAAGAGTCAA